TTTCTTTCTTCCTTCCTTTCTTTCTTTCTTTCTTTCTTTCTTTTTTCCTTTCTTTCTTTCTTTCTTTCTTTCTTTTTCCCTTTCTCTTTTTCTTTTTCTTTCTCTTTCTTTTTCACCTACGCCTACCTCCTTTTTCACCCCCATGTCTATTCTTTGCCTTTAAGAAGACCAAGAAGTAGAGTAGGTCAGTTTAAATGTGTTACTCTGCTGTCATCTCTGTCTGCTTTCTCGTTCCTTCCACTCACAAGACCGTCTAATGGTATTGCTGCACTGCGAGATAAGGTTTCCATAGCTCTCGCCCAAATGATTCTACATTTGGTCATTTCATTTGTTTGCCTGTGAAGGCAACCTATGACGGACAACAAAATGGGAGCATTGCGACAGTTCAGGCCCAGCTCTAAAGTCATACACTCTCGCAGCTAATAGGTATTATCTGACTGTTGAAATCGCCAGTCCCTGCCAAAAAAACTTGATGAGGTGGCCTTTATAATCTGACAAAGAGTTACCATTCTGATGATTCATTCAGCTCCTGAAGATGATGGTTTTTATTGCTTATTTTCACCAGCTACCTACTGTTTGTCTTGATATCCATCTCCTATCTGATTTTGAGCTACACTTTGAAGGAGTTAAATAGATCCCCACAAAAACTCAGATACTGTTTAAATGTTTTGGATGTCATCCCCTTGTTGCAATAAATTATCCTACATTTATCTCTGATGTCCCCTTTGTACACAAACCATAATGTCTGACATAGGATAATGAACATGTAATCAACCTGCGTTTGACCTCTGTGTGCAAAGATCTGATTATGCCTGTCCACATAAGACCAGGTTGAAAACTGTAACTCCGTAATAAACCATATAATTCAAAAGGACTTTTTTTTGCTGTGTGTCAAATAGGATTGTAGTGTTTGCAGTGCTGTGCTGTGCACTGCTGATTGGACATGGCAGACAGTGGCGGTATTTCCCACTTCAAATATGTAATGGTTAGCTCTCCCTGTGTCATCTTTGTCTCTGATTTTCCCCCAAAGATCAATCATACCAGTAAGCCAGCAGCATTGTTGGTGAAGCAAACAAATCTGTTTGCACACTATTAAATTCTCTATTTTCCTCCAAAAACTCAAGATTAGTCGCCACCAGTTCAGCAAAATATAAAAAACGTTACGTTAAGATGTAAAGTATGATGCACATTTTAATTGACGGAATGTTAAAACATTTTTTTCTGTAACTGCTACTTATCTAGACAGTTGGAGAATGTGAATCACTTTCGAAAATGATAAATGAAAATGTTAAAAAATAACCATTATT